TAAATGCATCCAAAAATATTTCTAATATAACTATTTAAGCATCAACGAAATCAGAGTCAAATTAAAAGTTAAAAAGATTTTCATTTGTTTTAGAAAATCGCTTTAAAAATGTATCTAATTGACTGAATTTATGACGTCATCAACTGTTCGGTCTATTTCACGATATGTGTATGCATCCACCTTACGAATATCATAAGAATTTTTGATATTCATAAAAAATGACTTATACAATATACAATTTATTTGTTTCTGTAGGAAATAATTGATGTTAATGAAGGACTAACGATGACGATGTATGCTGAATACTGTAATGATTTGATGTCTGCAGAATCCCTATTATCTCTCCAACTATCATCAAAAGGTAATAATCATAACGAAGGGAGACAACTCTTACTTTCATAGTACAAAAAAGAAATATTTTCATATAAAAACATGCATTTGATAAAAAGTTATTTTTCAATGTTAAAAAATTAGAAATAGGGCGTGTTAATGCTGTAATATAATCATATTTTTTAAATTTTGTATTAGATTTTAATATAAATCATCAGAAAATTACAGTTTGTATGTGGCATTGAATCGGAATTCCAAAATACCTTTTTTTAAAGTTCTTAAATTCAAACCTGCTGCGTTTGAAGACAAGCATTCCTAAAAACAAAGATCGTTTACAAAGTTTATTGTTAGTTGGTGTTAAGAATCAAATATAAGTTAATTCTATTTTCTATTTCAGAAAGATGCAATGCTGACAACACTTGTACGTATATATGATAAAGAAAACGCACGGTGTATTTGTTTATTTAATGTGTAGATTCACAACTTTTGAAAAGGTTTATCAATATCGCCATGAATGCACTGTCGGACTGATTATTTACCATATTTGTTATGAAAAAAATCAATGATGTATATTAAAATTTTGAATGTGTTTGTGTGGTTTAATAACATTTAATGTAAATTCAACAGTTCTTGAAAACTAAATCGTTTTTCATACTTAAAACTGTTCATTGGGATATCATATTCTAATTTTCCCCAACAGTTGCTGCGACAACAATACCATCAACCAGTCCAGGGGATCAGTCATTTACCATATACTTCGTCATCGGTGGAGTTATCGTTCTTTGTATTGCTATTGCTGTTATCATCGCCATTATCATATCCAGGCAAAAAATGTGTTTTCAGTGTCGCTTACAACCACAGGCGCCGGAGTCGGGGCATGAATTCACAGACATTAATTGATAATAAGGGAAATAAAAATTGGTGCTTCATAACAATTATTATATTTTAAGAAAGTAACTAAAAATTGATAAATATAATAAAATTATGGTACTGCTCGTGATGAGGTTTAAATGTGTATTAAAATTCAAAATGACGTCATTTTCACGTACATTTTGTTGTCTCTGTTGTATAGCGAGAAGTCCGTTGATTTTTCAACATTTAAAAAATTGCGATAACACATTCACGATGGCCAATTAGACTTCACGTTTTATTGTTCTTCCCATTAAAAATAATGAAATACTTAGATAATTGAAAGAGTCAACATTTGAAATTTCGTTTTCATTGTGATACCATCTACTGTTGTATGGAAACTTGCCCAAAATTTTGAAAACAACAATTTTTGTTTTGGTCACATGTACTTTTGAATTCCATGCAACACTATGATTACATAAAGTATTGTACATAGTCTGTAGCCCTTCCCTAGACAAACTCAGTTAATTCAACACACTCATTTGTATTTAAAAGCAATTCATTTTTAAAATCATTAATACACAAAGAAAAAAGACAATGAATGTACATGTGCTTGCTGTTTCATTCCTTACAGGATTTTAATCAAACTTTACCTAGTGAACAATTACGAGTAGCTTAGAAAATTGTTTTGTCAGTTTGCCGTACTTGTTAATTTATTGTTCCGTTACTACAGTTACAAACAACAGGTTGTGTTAATAAACTTTCGTATCCGATAATTAATATGAATGTTGTTTCTTACACATCAGGGTAACTATTTATTTTGGTACCACTCACAATTGATTGTCAGTCACGTGGAATACAAACGTGAGCACTTTTATCAAGGGTATGTGATGTATTGATTTCACTGCAATTGGCTTACAAAAGATCAAAATATATATCGCTTAGTTGACCTTATTCAAAACTAGGTTGTTTCTCCTGTCACTTCTGTTATAAGTTCACAATAAACTTGTATAAAGAGACCACTCACTCAACGGAGAACAGAAAAGTGACTTTTAAACTCAGTGTCTTACATATACAGGTCAAATTACTATGAATTGCTTGAAATAGGAAACCAAAAAAGTGTCCGTTATGGATAGGTGGTGTTTGTTAAAAGGTCACATTTAAGTAAATTTGTATGAGAGGTAGAATTGGTGCAAAATTCAAATTGTCTAGAAAGACACACATTTCTAGACATAGAACATTTTTTTTGTTCTGTTTATTCTAGGAATTGAAATAAAGCATGTCTACCTTTCTTAATTCAGTCATTTGAAAAAAAAAAATTTGGCAACGTGCACAGTATACTTATTAGGTTCTGGTCTAGAATACGTTGAAAATATGAGTATATTTTCATGTTATTTATCATTCCATTATCATTAAATGGTGACGTTTCAAATCTACTGCGTATTGGTCTGTTTCTCAGTCTTTAATCAAATCCTGTTATTGCCATTTCTTTCTCGAAAAGCACCAAGTTGACATTTCATAACCTTTTTATGAACGTTTCTCCTATCCCCTTGTGCCATTTAAAGTTTATGAACGAGCAGAAAAAAACAAAATGGATTACAGGTGGCCATCTTGAGTTTTGAAAATGAAAGTTTGTTATCGTTTGAACTCGCCAATTTGATCTTTGACATATGCATATCTCGTTCTATCATTGACTGAAAATTAGACCAATAGGAACGTCTCACAGGCCGCCATCTCGATTTTAAACAATCAAAGCTAATTTTCGCTATTCATTTCTTAAAGTGTCACTTGTGAGCGGATTGTTCCTAAACTGTTCTGTTGATTATCCTTGTTTATTTACGTGTTGTTCCATTTACATATTTAGAGAAATCTGATATAGGTTCCTCTTGTTTACTGATGCTTCCGAATAAGTTTGTGTACTTGGCAATACATGATATATTGAATGGAAAGGAGAATGATACAACTTATACAAAACCAATAATCATCTTCCAACTATGGAATCAATAACTATCTGCTGTCACGTGGTATGATTCAGTTTGATCTCTGCGAGAAGCGTACAAATAACATGCGGAAAATATACACAAAAAAAGCCGAGGAAAATACCCGTTGAGTACATTTTTTCCAAAGGTACATAGCCGTAATGATATTTTTATATAATATATCAATACGCATTTTCCAGCGATGCGCTGTTCCCAACACAATTGCCTTGTTGCTGTGGTATTACTCGTATTAAGTCTTCGTGGTTTTTCACCAAGGGCACTGACCCAGTTCATTTCCTTACATGTTCATTGTGTTTTGTGTTCCATTACAAGTCTAAACTCTCCTTTGTGTATACACAGTATAGATATATAAGTAAGTGTAAGTTAAGACTACTTATGTGGATTGAGAAAATCCTGACTAGACAGGATGTAACAGCATACGACAATTAGAATCGAAACAGAAACAGACAATCTGTGAAGTTAGTGTCTATTGTTCTATACATTCGATGCTTTGTATTTATGTTTTAAGTAAGATCCCTGTAGAATGTACAAAGATACACAAGTGAATACAAACATTCAATGCAAAATAAGATAAGACATCGTAGAGCAAAATAATTGATTAATCTGCATCATACATGTCGAGGGATTGAGAATTTTCTTCCCTTTCCTCCCTGACAAGAATTGACCTAATTAAACTTTACTTTAAACTTCATCTTGAAATCAATATTTCATCTCCCCTTAATAATGATAATAATAATAACTCTTACTAAACTACATCTGTGAAGTTTCTGTGGAATAACTGCTCAATGTCACCTGCCTACAGCATATCGATCGGGAAGAACTGCTTTTTATCAGTTTCAAGGCACCAGGTCTTGAGTCATACTACATGCATACCATGCACTTAGTCAATTTTCTGTAATTTTGTTCTAATGAAGAAATGTCAATTTTTTTTTTATATTTAACTTCATAGATAACTTTCGGATGATTCTATAAACAGTCAAACCAGTGTTAAAGACCACATTACACAAAACCAGCTGTCTATAATGGTCGTTTTTAATGGCTCCTTTTCTAATGCATTGCTTAGTTACTGAACCTCTATATAAAGACCACCTGTATCAATTATAAAGGTTAATTTTCTCCGATTCCTTCAATGACATTTATAGACAGCTTTGACTGTTGACTTCTGCTAGATAAAATCGATAAATTCAAACAGTTTTGCTTATAACATGACCAAAAGGGTTGTTTACAGATGAGGTATTCAAATTTCAATTGCTCGTTGATATATTCTTGCTATCTTGCTATCTCTGTTTGTGATATTTACATGCAAACATAGGTGCAATGTCCAAAACCTTTTCCCGGATATCGCTTTTTACACCATAATTATCAACTTGTTGACTTATGACTGATAAACTTGAACCACATAATTGCAAATCTTGCTAGCATCAGAAGATTACAGGAAACGTTAATTGTCACTCTAAAGATGTAAATACCAAAATGTTTCCTGTGGCGACATGATATTCAATCTATAAATGATATTTTTGAGCATTCTTTTTAAATGTCTACGTATCCATTTCCTGTGTGACCTTGAATTTGACACCCGATTTCGAAATTCAATAGGGTTCTTTTTCTCAAAAGGGGTTAAAGTTGTAATAAGTTTTGTTAATTCCAATAACTGGATTTCCCTCAGCCCTGCAAATGCTTTCCGCCGCGACGGAAAAACGAACGCACACACGAAAATTATAACCAAACATTCGATGTTGTACTTTTCCCTTCTGAAATGAAAGCACATAGATGCACATGTGATCGAAGTTTACACTTACAGTTAAACATAACTCAGAATGGTAAATTCACAATCGAAAATATTTATTTCAAACCGATCAAGTACAAACAACACAACAAAACACACCACACCCGCATTCTATTCAAATATTAAAGATTTTTGGAATCTACAATAAGAGGCGAAGTTTTAATAAATAAGCATAAGAATGAAGACAAAATACAAATAATGAAAAAAAACCCATTTTTTCTGCGAACGATTTTAATTGTGTAGCTTTGCCATGATGAACAAAACCAAGCAGAAGAAATGATAAATCGTTTCTGCTATTTGCGTGTTTGTTTTAAGTAACTTATATCCGGATATGTTTAAGATATTGATGCTTCAAGATATTTTTCTTGCATGCTATACCGGATGTAACAATGAAATCAATCGAGTGAAGGCAAGGCCTTCTTGAAAAAGGTATTTCGTATTCACACATTTTACACTGGTAATGAACATAAACGTTCTGTTTCTCATGATACATCCTCTTCTTGGATCTAAGCGAGTCTATTCGATTAAAACTATATATGTATGTAAGAAGTTGATTGATCATTATCAAAACAAAATACAATTGATTTATTGTTGTCTTTTGCACTGGCACTTTATCATTGCTTTGAAGTTTTCTTTAAATCCTGGCGACATGTAATTATAAAGAAATGGATTCATAGCTGATTTAGACCATAGAACCCACAGCATTACCGTGGTTACATGTTCATTCACGCATGTCGTACAAACGGTATCGACAAAGTACGTGATAGAGTATGGTGCCCATGTAATGAAGAAAATGAAAACAAGCAACGCAAGGTTTTTAGCAGTCCTTAATGCTCGTTTTACTCCAGATGCTTTCGTGAGGCTTCTTGTGTTTGTCAATTCATCCACAACTGCTGTGAGAGCATTCAGATTGTTTGTAGAGGCAACTCCATGATAACCATTCATTCTATTCCGAGCAGCTTCTCGTCTCTTGATTCGAGTTCTTACTTTTTTGAAAATCAAATAGTTGATAACACAAAGACAAATGAAAGGAATAGTGAATTGTAATACAGTCAGTATTGAACTGTACATTTTATGTTCATGGTATACAGCACTGCATTTCAAGTTGTTGTGTTCGTGTTTTGGTGAATGAAACACAAAATGTACAGGTCCATGAACGAGGAATGCTATAATCCATGAGACTATAACCTTTATTGTAGCTCTGCGAATTGTCTGTTGTTGCATATATTCTAACTTTTGAGTCAGGAGTTTGAGACGATCCCAGCTTAAAATTACCATCATAATGACAACCTCACAACAGAGAATTTCATTTATTGTCATAAATAGCGTGCACACATATTGATGCATAATCCATCTGTACGAATTCAATGTGTATACTGCGAATAAAGGCATACTGATACAACCAAGTAGTAAATCGGTCAAGGCTAGATTAACAAGATAAATATTGTATACTGTGTGCAGCTTCTCGTCCCTAATGAAGGCTAGAATGACGAAAGCATTTCCAAGTATGGCACTAAACATTACAATAACGATGACCAAGCCGGCTAGCACCAGGGCATAAATGGGAAATTCTGAATCCATCATGATGATGCAAGTACATAGGCTCATGAATCAGGGACTCTCACGTTTCTGTATCCATTGGTAGATCATTGATGTATATCTAGGAATGAAAAAAAAAATCGTATAATGTGTTTTGTCTTAAATACAGAAACGTTATAATACCTCCGCTTTGTTCCATTCATAATAATAAGTGTGTTATGTTCAAATCAACCAGAAAATTTCGACATATTGACAGCATCTTCATTCAAAGTTGATTAAACAATTATAAAATATGTTATTAAACATATGGCATGAAATCAATCACAAATGGTGTTGGTATTTAGTTTTAGTATTATAAATCAAGGAGTATGTTAACAGTTAATAATTTATACAGCCAAGTCTCCCGACAGGCAACGACATTCATTGGTTTCCTAAAAATAATACACCTGAATCCGTTATCCATTGGTAACTTTGAAACCATAAATATAACTATATACACTGTTTATTTACAGTGATATCTACACTCTTAGAATGCTGGTAATATCATAAATAAAAGTTATTCATCAGTAAATACCAATCCATAATTTCTCAGTTTAGAAAACGATAAAAGATGCATATTTGTAAACATCCAAAATATATCCAAAATACCCCAAAAAGATTCATACAATTACCAAGTTTAGTTGAAATGGAAACCGCAATATAGAAAACACAATTAGCAAATAAAACATTATCTGAACAAATTGGAAAATAGACTTATAAAAAAATTATACTCCCCCTACCTCATTCGTTGAAAACTCCACGAATTAGTATTTAAAACTGCTTTCCATTCATTCGCATTATAAGGCAGGCAATATCCATCCTTTTCAAAATAAGCAATGTCCTTCGAAATATCAATATAAAAATATTCCGCAACTTGAAATATCCTCAAAATATCGTTATTTGTAATTCGAATAATTCAACTATAAATTATTCACGTTCTCTCTTCACGACCTTGTATTACAAAATGTATATGATTTTATATGCACTACCGGACCTATGTTTCCCTCTGTCGTGTTAGACCGGATATGGCTTATTGAGGCAGTAGGTCGGGGTAAATGTAGGATATACGTCAGTAAAAATCATATCAACAACCCAGCTCTTTAACCTTTCCTCTGATTGGCTTCTTCCGAGCGGTATCGATACTGTTGCCTGCCATTTATTTTAACAAAACATAGTCATTAATTTTGGTAGCGCTGTTCTTAAGTAACAGATATGATTGTATAAGTAAAGGCATTTAGGGCAATATATACATATATATATCATGTATGGTCATTAACTATATTTTATATATATATATATATATATATATATATATATATAAAGGTTATATTTCCTTCTGTCTAATCGCTGGTATTTTCTGCTTGTCGACATTAGAGATCTATCTTGAAATTTTAATGCACTCCTACACTCCGTTGTGTTAATCAGTTTTAAACAGTTATAACACAATTGACGTATGAGAAAAATCTCAGGCTTCATTAACCGATAGTTATTTTCGATTTGCGAACGTCAGAATAAGGAAGCAAGTCTACGATGGCCGATAGCCATCTTCAAAACACTTCTATTTGTAAACATTGTTCTGTTTGAAAATTTGCCAATTAACTAGGGGAAAGTTCCTTATACTTGACACACGTATACATACCTGTATACAGGCAATATTTGTTGACTCATTTTACTTATTATCACCAATCAGTATATGGCATTCCTATGATCGCTATTTAGTCATAACTACACGAGTTTTCCGTTAGATTTTCAAGCCGTAATATTATCTTATTGAATATTAATCAATCGGTATGTTGGAAATTATAATTCATATTTTTATTTATTTATATTTTGATAATTTTGATACCATTACCCTTAGCGAATAATAGAAAGTTGAATCCGGATCTGAAAATGATCCATAAGGTATTCAGTTAACAAAACTGTACATAAGTTATGAAAGACTTTGACAAGGCATATATTACACATGTACAATACACATACCATACACATTCATTTATTTATTTTACACATGTACTCTGACCATTGATCGAAATGATCAAGACACAAGCAAAATGATTATATTTTGATGACGTTTCACTACCTCTGTAGGGAGAGGGGGTGCTATATGTCTGTCTGAAAATGGAACTAGTTGGTTGCTACAAGAATATTCTGTCCGTAACACTTTGTTGCCACACGTTAAGACCTGTGTTTGACTGTTTGTCAGTCAGTCTGTCTGTCTGTCTGATAAAATGGAACGAATAAGTTGTGAAAAGAACGTTGTTTGCCTGTAACACTTTGTTAACACATGTAATGATTTTCCGCATTTTTCATTTTATTTTTTATTTTTTGTTAAGTAGTGATGATTTCATTTTGTGATACACATAAGGCAGGCTTCCATATTTATCAAATCATATTGATTCTAATCATAACAAATTGTTGATCCTTGTGTTATTCTGCTCTAAATAAAGAACTCATACTATGAATAGGACCATTTTTATAAAGACAAATCTGAAATTTAGTACTAGGATGTTTGTAAGAAAAATGAGATTATGTTTCATCAAATGACTTCAATCTGATAAGAATATGACATATGCTTACGTTTCAAATAACAAATAAATAAATAGATAGATTAATAGATAAATCAATAAATAAATTGATTATAATGTGCGAATATCTATCATGGTATCAATATCATCAATTATTGCCTATTAAATGGCATTTATATTAATTTTAAATATAATTATCAACTTCCAAAATAATCTGGCTCTTTCTTCTTCGATAACATAGGCAGTAACTTGTATATTCTTCTCCACATGGCATTAAGCTTTCCTTTCTCCACCTTCTCTGGTTCATACCACGATATTTCCCCAGAGTCTATTACGGAGGACAGTGTTCTGACACTAAATCCACTGGTACTAGGTGTAGCGCATCTGTTTATATTTTGCATATTAAATGGGTCCCTATAGGATTCCCAGTCTTTCTGCCAGATCTGTGAATACAAAAGAAACACGATGATATATATTAGGTTTTTAGAGCAAAAATACATCCTACGCCAAACACTTTGAAATTTCTTCTTCTCCAGACATGAAAATTTAATATTGATCACAGTTATTTTGTTTCCAAACTCAAACTTATTTTTTGAGATTTTGGTGCAGTTGTAATGTTAAATCCAGTAACATGCGTTGAGGGATTAAAATGTCATTCAATTTGGTACGATTTACGTTTGTAGTTAATTCTTTAGTATATTTGATCTGCAACACAAATACTAAAAATCTAAAAGACTGAAGACAATAGATATCTAATAAAAATGTGATACATGAATAGTGACATGACCTTATTCTCAAACCCCGTATTATAACACTTACTGGCGTCGCTCGGAAGTCCGTCACACCTGTATTTCTGTGATCTATCCACTGTACAAATTTCTTACGATCCTGCAAAATATCGACATAATTTTAATTTTAATTAACTATAAGTGAAAAACAAAATGTGACGCTGCCACATTCAAACGTAATCTTTGATGGTTCGACTGTGGAAGAAGAATGAGCTACATATCATAAATGTGTGGTTTAGTTTGACTGAAAATCTGTTTTTTGAACTTAACTCAATGTACCCTTCATATAGTTGTGGATTTATTCAAGTGTTTGCTTATAATGCTGGTTTTTCTTTTCACTTATTGCTGAACACTTTATTCAAGTTTAACATTGAAGTACTAGAGCAATAATTTAACATTTGTGTCTTTTGTACAGTCAACAGTCAAAATATACACATACATTTGGTGTCCTCTTCTGAAGTTATCAAAAATAAAAAATTATGAAACTGTTTGAAATAAAATGTAAGCACAACTCCCAATCCAGGTTTCAATATACATTCGTCCTTGAATGGCGAAACAGCTGTAAGATGCAGTTTTATACTTCATTTGGTCATACTTAATTCTAAATTTTCTTGAAGTTCTTTTTTGCCTCTTTTACCTAATCGTTCTTAGCAAGATTATGGAATTGATATGTCATAGTTTATTCGACATTCAAGGGCCTGTTTCCATTATCACGATTCTCGTGTAAAAATTGACGGACAAACATGGGCTTGACAGATGCAAATTGATGAAAATGATGAGGAAGTTTTGCTATCTTCATAGTGATATCATTGACAAATATTTAATTTCTTTGTGGGATATAAAGCTGGATGTGATTGATGCTCTTTACTTATCTTGTTCCTTTGTTGGATACTTTCATTTGAGAACGTGACATTACGTCCATGGATTATGATTATGTTGACATGTTGGTATTGTCATGTTATTTATTGAAATAGAGACAAGCAAGTCAATACAATATTTTAATACAAACTTAAGAGTAGTTTGCAATAGTTTCAAATAATGAATTAAACTCATCATACAGCTATTTTGTCCTCGTACTCGTCGGTGAATAAAGATTTTTAAAACCTGAAAGGGGACTGTACAAAATCCAACATGAGCGAAAGAAATATCAAGATAGGAAGATTTACTTGCCTCATATCTCAGTAAATTTCGAAACTTTCATATGTTTGATGATTTACAAATAAATGCATCATACAGCTATTTCGTGCTTCTAGGGTTTGTCAGTGATGTAAGGACTAACAATTTGAAATCTATGAGAAGAGTGATAAAAATACACTTAATGTACTGAATTATTGGCTAATGAGCCTTCCTTTCTAGCTGTTGACATTTCTGTCGCTCATTAGCCAATAATTCAGTACCTTTCGGAACCGTGTCACTGTTCAAATCAATTAAAACATGCCACGCAGGTTACGGCAAACATCAGCCGGCAATGTCTACCACAATCTGTAAAACGGTACAGAAGACACACAAGTGAATAATAACCTTTTCATACAAACTTAGAACTGGATAGAGTAGTACTAAATAATGAATTATAATATGTTATACAGCTATTTCGTCTTTTTAGGACTCGTCAATGATGCTGAAGGTCTATATTCTTAAGTTCGGTTACAATTGTTGATAATGATGATGCTCTAACGAAACCATCATTTAAAAAGTTGAGAAAAATGTGTAACAACAGATACAGTTTTTAACGGTTTAAGCATCTTCAATTTCATTTCCTCATGAAAAATAGGAGATAAAGAGGACATTTTGAGACTTAACTTCCTTATTGATATTCAGTGTAATAGGATGCAAGTGCTTCATGACATGCACTTAATGCTACTTATGTATAAATCAAGGACACAATTAACGTGCTAGTTTCATCAACTATTTACGATATGTCTATTTACTTATAAACCATATGTTTATTTAGCTAGTAAATATAAAAGAACAAGTGTTTGTCAGTTTGATACTTTTTTATCAATAAAGGCTACTGTAATATCGTTAAAGTGGATGAATATAGCCCATTAGATACATATTTATTCTATTTTACAGTGTGTGACTTCGTTAGATAAAAGAAAAAAGAAGAGATTATAAACAATAACTCCTATGAAAATTAGATGTTTTACCGTACGTTTTAAAGTACTTCACATATGCTTTTAGTATTTAAAAGCACGTAAATATCACCATATTCAGAAACAATCATTATTCTGGTGCATAGATTTAAATGTGAACACAAGAAAAGGCTATACAATACACTATATAAAATTTATTTCATGAAATAAATACATTTGTGTTAGATGGTTACTTTATATATATATGTATAATTGTCATAATCCTACAGATGTTCTTCACATTATAATGTTATGTAAGTTGGCTCTTGCATGATTTTGTTATTTGGAATAAGATCTTGAACTCTGACCACCTGGTGACCATCTGTTACCCTATGTAGTTTGTATCTCTTGTTATTTGGATGTTATGTGTGCGCACGTGTTAGCTAGAGGGCCGTGTAGGGCAACTCGCTATGCGGTCACGGTTTTAGCTTGACCAGTCAGAGGGGCTGTTCACGTGACCAGCGGCAGTAGCCGTGATGCTAGGCGGTCAGGGCCTGGATTGACCAATCAGCGAGACCGCACCTCTTCGTGATTTTGACCGCTTCATATCTTCATCACTCCTCATAATTTTTCTGCTGCTGTGATTACGTTTAATATCTTTCGAAGTCCCACCCATACCACACTCCCACATTTTGTCTTGAGCCAGCTTATATATCCATGTTTTTTTATGGTTGTATGCCGATAATTTGTACCCCATCTTTTTTGTTGTACAAATAGACTGAAGTTAATGTCATTCAGATCTATATTTTATATAACAAAAGTGATTGATATTATGGTTGTATTTGAAATGTTCCTGTCATTTAATAAATGACCATTTGACAACATTTCTTTCCCCTGTTGTTTTTTGTTTATAAGATATGTACAACAAATAACAAGCGGCAGTCTCTGAGCTATACTATTCATTACAATACAATATAAATCACATGTCGTTATAAGTGGATTACATTGTATTTTGTAAAGATTTTTTCACTTGTAGAGCAAACTACAACAAACTGGGAAAACAGATAAAAAATTATATCAATAATTCCCTATGGTTTCTAGATGGTCATAAATTCACAAGTTTATCCCATCTATTGAATAAAAGATTAATGCCTACCATTGACGGTATGTAGAATATATTTATCTAACCGTGTAAAATATACAGCAAAAAAACCTTGGTGAATATGTATCAATTACGCCCTACAGTTTCTCGACTAACAAATTGATCATATGAATGAAATAAAAGATTCATACATACCATTGACGGTAATCGCCGAATAGCAGACTTAGGCACAGTTATTTCAATATCAGAAAACTCAGGTTCTTCGCTTATTTCTTCATGAACTTCTAACTCCATCACAAACGATTCCTTTCTGGCCAACTGCGCTTTTCGTTCCATTCTTTTCTTTCTGATCTTTAAGATCTTTGGAATATCATCGAAAGGTTCTTCCTTTTCAGCAAACCTCTTTTTAAGGAATCTCCAGTAGTATCTTGCTGTGTCCTGAATTGCTTCTGCGTCTTGCAATGGGTTGATTTTTTTCTTGCTTGCGTACATAAACCACTTCAGAAATGATACAATGCCAAAAACGAAGACGAGGATGACCGCAAGACCGACAATGACCCCAACAGCGATCTGTCCACCCATGTCTGTAACGGGGTCTGTGAATGTAAGTTATAGTAAAAGAATGTACAAGCTTTTTGAATACAAAACACTGAACTACATAAGGCTATAGAAGATTACATAAGATGTGACATAAGTGCGAAATAATATATGTGTAAGTGATTGTAACATTTAAATGTATATTCGATTAAACAATATGTAAGTGCTTAGCTGGACGTAAACAACAGTTCAGAAGTACATAATCGGAACACTTATCCGCATTATATAATAATACATTAATACAATGAGACAACTAACAAAACAAATATGTTTTCTGATTGGTTGGGAACGTGTAAACCAGATAAATACTCTTAATTGTACTACAACCTGAAACATTAGATAACATTTTTTCCTTCCTGTTGATATCATCAATTATCCCACAGAGTAGAGTTTTGAAATTACGTTAATGATTTACTTAAGGTATAACGAGTCGGTTATTGGGGTACAAAATGCTTGAAATAATTTATCAAATTGAGAAACTTTTGAAGATGACATTTTACTGAATATACTGATGCTTATCTGATTAGGGATTAAAGAACAAGGATGTACCAAACCGTATGACGACATGATGCATGAGTAGACTCATATTTTGTTTCCTGACTCTTTAAGTACACGTACAATTAAAGTAGGTAAACCTCTTAAACATATCACAGTATATATGTCACATCCACTGCGTGTTTCCGATTGTCAGCGAACCCTAGACTATGCCTCATAATTACTCCACACCTATATCCATACACTTTTTAGACCTAGTAAAAGGACATACCAGTAATTGTATCTTTATAAAAATGAATTGTCATTTTTTGAGTTTGGAAAATAAGAATTAATTTCGGGCCTTAAATTAATAAAGTAAATTTCGTTACAATATTATATGTAATAACAATATATGTTAAACTCTGGCACACTTACGAAAGGTAATTCAAATCTGGGACCATTGGATCAACAACGTAAATGTATATGACGAATTATGTTAATTTCTTGATAATCTGGACATTGTACTACAATTTTTGACTGGTGCCCTGTCAAATTATCGAACTCACGATCTACGGGAACAAACAGGTATATGTTCAATATTTTGTTTTAAATTCTATATTTAAGCTATTTATCAATGATATGACAATGTAACCTTTATAAGAATATCTGAGCTGTCTTGTGAACAAAATGAATGAATTTTCTCTTATAACTGACATTAAAGTAAATCTGATTCAACTCACCGTTGTTAACAAACAACAGGTATCTTCCGGGTGAGGATACGTTGTACGGTGTCTGTCCAGATTGACATATTTCCGGGTATTGTGTTAGATAAACAAGTCTCTTTTGTGTCTCCAATACCTTAAACAGTTAACAAAAAAATAATTTCATTAATCACTTGTATCGAACCAAACTTCTAAGGTATAATAATGAAAAGCAAATGAAACCGACAATATAATTGATCCTTTTTCTTTGATATGGAGATTGGTGTGAATTGTAAAAAGAACAAAAAAGGATTATGATTAAGTAGAACAGTCATGCCTACAACTGAATCTAATAGCATTATCAGAATTAACTTTAATTGATTGTTGAGATAGAAAAAGTCACAACGGCCTATTACACATTTTGCATATGTAGGAAATCGGATTGCTATTTTGATATAAAACTAAGACGAATTTCCTATGTTTGTTTTTTAATGTCGAACCTAAATAATGTTTCAGGGAGAAAAAATCGCCATCAAGTTTGAAATAGCTCCTTTGGAAAACATTTTTGGCAAAGTGGTCTTGATTTTGTTTTCAAAAAGTGATAAGGTATGCTCCGGAAGGTTTCTTTTCAGCTTTTCGATGTCAAAAGAATAGAAGTTCGTATGTTTCTCCCACTGGTTGTGTTATAAGAGCTGCTACTTCATACCGTAATATAGCATGGAATATTCATAATCATTCTCATTCCTTCCTTTCCGTTGAATATTGTTTGAAAATAAGCGTTTTTACTTTTCTGTAGTATATGAGAACTGATGTAAATTCGATTTTGTTTTTTATATTATTTTTGTGGTTCAAATATTGCCAGGAGACTTTTTTAAATGATGTGTTATAAGGGTGTGGGATACAGCCCAACGGTATTGATTGAATATAGGAAAATTCAAGAAACTTTCTGTCGTTTGTCGTGAAGTATTCCAATCTAGTATTAGCCGGGTGCACCACGTAGTAACATGAAGTCCATTTAACTACTGACTTGCCTGAGAATGATATGTAAATCCAAATCGGATTAGCTACTTAATATCGGCACTTCAATACGACTGGCCTGTAAATGATATGGGCCTGTAAGGTACTAAACATGAAGTTTGAACCAAAGAAAATAACTATGTTTTAATGAATCAAAGGAAAGTCCTATATATTTATTTATTTGGTTTTCAGTTGAGAAAATGATGCTTAAGTTTACGATATTAAGCAAGCCAAGCTTAATAAAATTTGGTCCGTATGAATAGTGAGACATAATTTTCTGAGACCCATTCTTTAGCAATAGTAAGCTTAATAAAACCAATTTAATAATATGTTACATTCACTGTTAAAATTACGGGTAAAGACTTTCCCGTATAGGGAATCATAGCTGCAGCTAACATCTTTAATTCTTTACTGCTTAATCATGAATAACATAGCTAAAATTATATACACCTTTAGCTGTTTTAAAGCTGACTATTCTGGCATTTGTTTGTAACAAGTTTTTATGTAAGAGCCGAGAGCAAATGTCAACGTTTTTAAAAGTACAAAGTACGCCGCACCAGTGGTATAAATACACATGAGTAACAACGTGTTGCTATGTGAGACTGTAATCAACTTAGGAGTCAGATGTCGTTTGAAACGGTACACCGATATTCATCCAATAGCAGGAGCAGCTTAATGTGATGCTGTTGAAGTAGGTTTGGGAATTATGACAAGTGTCTCCAGACATGAGTTCTCAAGGACGTAGACCAATTATTGTTTGTAAACATGGCAACACAGGATACATCACCCCTGTGTACCAGTTACTTAAAACCTCAACCTTATCTAAGGTCAATAAGGTACACTTGAGTTGTCAAAATATATGGTGTCGTATCTCGAATACTTATTCATTTATTTGATAGCTTGGTAAATTTGAACTTTTCACTCTTTAAATTGAAACAGGCAAGTTTGAAGTTTGAAGTTGATATCCTTTATACGGATTTCAAACCTGTTGTCCTTCAATAGCATTCTAACTTATTTCACTTCATATATATATATATATATATATATATATATATTATCAATTACCATAATTATTTTCATATATAAAGTTTAACAACATATGACCTCCCAAACCTAGGGTTTTATTGTTGTTGATAAAGAATATGTGAATATTGATATCAATGATACTGAAATAAATTCCAGAATCTTTCGATTATCGGACGATACTATACAACAATCATGGGCTGTTCATTGTATCAAATTAATATATATATATATAATATGTCTTGAATATTGATGACAAAAAAAAAAAAAAAAAAACATTTGGTGTCCTTTATGTAGTTAACATAGTCTTCATATCGGACAATGTCTGATATTTGTTTTCGTGAGTCTTATAGTGCATTCATTAAATTGATGACACAAGAATAACATTATACAAAGCTGTTGATCCGATGCAATGATGAGCATTAATATATTTGTTATGTTTGATGTATGTAAGATAAATGGTTTAAATGTACTTATCAATGAATTTGTATAACCATCATATTGTGAGGCCTTGGTATAAGTTACCAATAACAATATTTTGGTATGAGATGTGATGCTATTTCGTACCTACGGTTTGCGATGAAAGTCTATCTTATACATTGACAAGGAGTTACTATTTCTTATAAAAGTAGGAGATGAGAGACTATTTACGGTGTGTTACATTTACAGTACGAGATAATGTGAGAAAAGAAAATGAGAGTAGATTTCATATTTACGATGCAAGATGTGAGAATACATGATTTCCTAAATACGGTGTGAGATGTGAGGCTTTACTGATATTTACGATATGGTAGACTGTTTTATACATACGGTATTAAATATGGTATGGAATATAAGACTTTTCCAGGCAGATACTTACGAAGCATGAGAACCTGTAGGTTGTTGGCTCATTTACAGAAGAATCATTGTTGAGTACATTAAGATAAGTATATGATCCTTCGTTTAAACTGTACATGCATGTATACTGTCCATTTGCTGCAAAGATAAATAAATAAATAAAAACATCATAATTCATCATTCCTGTTTTCTATGAATCTTTGTTAAAAGAGAACTCGAAATCCTTTAAAAAAAAAGGCATGCTTTTACTTTAATTCAATAAGTTTGTAACATTTTGGCGAAATAATTGTGTTCGTCATTTACTGAATAAATTATTAGCTCACCTGGTTCGAAAGACAACTGGTCTAAAGTCTTGGGGGAAGGGAACTCAATTAAACAGTAAGTCCCCTACCCACACACACAGATACACACACAACAGAATAACCCCAACCCACCTATACCCCGACCCCCTTTGGCGGAAGGAGGGATTCCTTCTATGCAGAATAGAGAAAACTCCGCACGATCCTACGACTACCGTACGAAAAATTGAATATTGCCCAAATTTCGACTAAAACACCCTTGGGTGAAAGGTTTTCAATTTTGTATAAATGTTTGGTCCTTTGTGGTGTGAGAAACACCGCCTAATACGGCAAATATTTTAAGAGTCTTTTATATCCTACTACTCCTGTAGGAATAATTAGATTTTACAAAAATCTAGTCAGAAGTCTGAAGCATTTTGGGTTGAAAGGAGCTTAATTTTGAATAAACGATGTATCTGACATCTATTGGATAGAAAGGCGACTTAATACTCTTTCATTCGAATGAATCACTTTTTGCGGTACAGTCCTATGGGCCTATTGTATTATTCAGTAAAGACCATTAGGATGATGCATCTACCTTTTGAAATAATAGTCATTACTGTTATCGATTACATAAAAATGTAATAAGATTTCCGGTATTTCCTTAACATATATATGTACGTCCAATTTGATGTTTCGCTTTTGTCAAAACAAATACTCGCCTACCGAAATAACTAGTCTGCTGTTGTTTGTACTAGTGTGCAAATAAAACTGAACAACATACATGAAAATAACGCTTGCTGGGCGCAGCTGGAATACGTAAAAGACAGTCGAGTGGTGTTTGTTTTTCCGTCTAATTTTGATCCGGTACAAGACAGATCGGAAACCAAGACATCAAATGTACTCTTTAGAACGTCAGGACACGATATAGCAGCGCTCTCTACTGAATCTGAAATAGTATTAATTCAATTCAAGTGAACTCAACTCCAGGAAATTCAGATTAATGTTAGATCAAAGATAATATTTTCAATTGGATCGGATACAGCATATACCATCTTAAGCTAATCTTAGGTTTTTATACGTTAGAAGAAGGGGTGGCACAAGTTGAACTATTTTTTGTACTACCGCTTGTGGTTATTCTGTCTTGTGTTGTGCGGTTTTAATGATATCATGGAATACAGTTGAAACATTATTAGAGGGGAAAACAATTACAAAAGTCGTAAAAAAGAAAATAACAACATGACTATAATCATTATCCGCACTTATATCAATAAACCTAGGATAAAATATGGACACGAAAAATCTAAAAAGAATAAAGGAAGTAAGATCATGTGTTCCGAAGGAGTAAACGTCTTCTGTTTCATCTACAACATCCGCCATAGCCTTGATTAGTCCAAGTATGTAATATTACATTCTCAAATAAGATCAATGTATACAACAACGGAACCATCAGACAAACTAATGAGCATCAAAACACGTCCAGTTTCATATTGCACAAAGAAACAGAATTGCTTTCAATGACATCACTATGACGAATGTAAAAAATTTCTCTATACTCGTTATCAATGTGCATCCTTTGAAACATGTGTTATGAGTTTGCCCTTCACTTGAATTAACCTTGCATAAAAATTGAAAAAAATATGCGCTGAACGTTTCCATTACGATGCCAGATGAAGTAATATTCTAAACATTCATCAAAGAAAATCATCGAATTAAATTGACCTTGACAAGAAAATGAATGCACATAACTGGAATAGGAACACTTTAATTTCATAACTGTTCTGTTGAAACTTTGCGTTCTGGTTCAACAACCGCGGGTTTGTTTTGATCTGAAGTGAGTATTAACGAGTTGTGAAGTGCCTTTAACGCAAAAGTACAGAGAAAAGATTTCCATCCTCAACGTCTAAAAATATATAGTTGATTGTGTTTGTAATTCATTATTCCATTTTTAAAATTCTTTGAGTTCAATCATCAACCAGATAAAAACAGAGCATTCATCTGTATTTCACCATTCATGAGAACACGTGTACCTCTTAGAAGTTCAATTTACATTTGTGTTTTTCTATGTTTATCGTGTTGAAATGTATAAGATAAATTTATCTTGGCTTCTTTAACAGAATGGAACAACTTACCTTTTTGAACGAAGATTTCATGGTTGCCCGTCGGATAGGAACCTACTATATTACATGTGTTATTTTCTGTGGCCACTTGACCAGTTCCAGAAAAAATGACAACCTCGCGTTGGTTTGTGGTGGAGTCGATTTCTGTAGAGAGAAGAAACATTGAGAAACAAATGTTCGTACAATGCACAGCTTTGGCAGCAATGTCCGTAGCCTGAATTTCCACTCCCACAAATACCAGACGTCAGGCATTTTGATGGACGGACAAATACCTATTACGGATCCAGTGCTAACCCCTCTATGTAGGAAATAACGTCTTGTGACGCTCAATATTTGGATACTTGCCAAATTCTTAAATCATAATAGCATTTGAGCACATCCTATTAATCTATTTAAAACCGCATATTTAAAGTTGAATCGCTGTTTCATGTCCGCAAAACATCATATATCAATCTGCTGTTTACACTATCGCCGTTGGCGAGCACTATTTATTCGAACGCCTTAACACTGTTTAAGGATTTAGGTTTTTCAGAATTTTAGACGGACAAAAATATTTTCTAATGTATATTTTAAAGTATAACCAAATGTTAAAGAAAACAATGTTTCTGTGCTTATTTACGTCATAGTGCGACGTGAATACATTATTTATTAATGAGCCTTACATGACACAATATTCACAGGATTCGCAAACAACACTGGGAGGTAGGAGGTGATACACAGCAGGAGGTTGAAACGGATGAAGTTTTACTCTTCAGTTTTATATTTCAGACAGATAATCAACATTAAACTTTATTAAAATATCAATGAAGTAAATATCAGCGCGAAGTGACATTACAACAGTGTGTCTATTTCGCAAATTCAGATAGTAACAATTCAGGCTCGTAACATCAGAAATTGATGTATCTTCATATTGTAGCTTTACTTTGGTTATGTCAGAGCAACTTATTGTAACATTATTCGATTTACAACTGGATATTGAAATGTCCCATTTATAGTAATGGTGAATAGAGAACAAAGACATTATGCTATTTTTTTTCCATTTATAAACAAAGGTTACTCCAATTTATGTGAGATGGATTTTGTCTTGCTGTGGGCATATAACTAATATCCGGATATTAGCACATAGGAGAGTGTGTGAGTTAAAAAAAGCTTTCTTTATAAGTTAATCGTGGCATTAATATCACACAAAACAAATTGGTTATCACTACATGCTTAGAACACCTCAGTTCTCTCTGGCAGCATCCTACCTGATTCATACTGGACAATATACTTGTTTTCTGTGACTTTCATCATGTTGATACAGAGATACACCTCGCCGGTTACTGTCGTGAAAAACTGAACGGTTGCTCTGAAATGACATCAGAATATACATTATTGATTGTTATCAGAAACATAAATCGTGACTAAATTTCCAAGTTTGTTGTAAAAAATGTGTGCATATTCAGAATACAAACGAAATTATTCCAAATCATTCTGACGTTCTGTCGACTTTTTGATATTGTTCTGGGGTCGATGGACGTCAGAACTCTGACCCTGTTTAAAGTGGAGGAAATTAACGACCTGTGTCAGCAGTCAAACGATAATTGTGGACAGAAATCGTTAATTGTTACGTTCCCCAGATGATTTCGTGTGGAATAGAATCAAGGTAAACAAAACATGACTTTTGATAACAAAATAAGTCATCCAAAACAGGAACAGCTTGTCCCAGAGGTATTCCAATAGTCTGATGGAAAATCTTACCGCCGAACTCGACAATATTGTCAAACCAAAAATTTTATTATTTTCGCAATTTCTTCTTTTTTTCTTTTTTTTTTTCAATTTGGAGTATTTTCAAATAAATCGTTGAAGTATTATTCACATCCACATATCTTTGTGCCGTCGTTCTCTCAATACAAGAAAACGAACGTGTTCCTTAAGTTTAAAATTGACAAAGTAGTCTACAGAGTCGAAAATTCAAAAAGTCTTGTAGAATGTGTTTTTTTTTATCAAAAACTCTTTGGAGGTCCTTATACCTTTATTTTTACTTCTTAGGTCAACAGTATTGCAATAAGACCTTAACCTTGATGTGATAGTAAGAAGCTTGATAAAGGTTTGGTTAGGCAATAAGACGATCTAGCAATATAACTTTGTTCATAATGATTCTTGTAATCAGAAACCGATATAATTGCAATACTGAAGCGTGATTAGCAAGTGTTCCTTCTTTGGGAAAATTGAATAAATGTGTGGGCAGAATTGTTTCCGTTATCCAGCTAGAATAGATCTTTTTGTATGCAGCGAATGTTATGATGTATACAAAGAAAGATCAAGCTATTAGATACCATGAAACGACATACTTATCATGTAAATCTAGAGGGATTGACCCAACACTCTTGTATAATAATCCATCTTTAATTTCAAATTCGAAGAGGTTTCACAGTATTTGTGGCCATTCGTGAGAACGAACCTTAAGTATCTGTTTTTGGACAATACCTTAATCGCATCTACATTCATTTACTACAGATTTTGCCAGTAAAAGTTTGTACGCAAAGTAGCTGTATTAAATGTATTTTTGTATTGGATGTATGGTGGGAGGTTAGCATCAATACATGTCTGGTGTAAATTGTTCTTTTTAATGGTAGCATCGACTCACTTATTTCTACACTCAAATTTCATGAATTGATGTGTTGTGTCCGTACAGACAGGATACAAAAACAATCTTATATGTGCCATATCAATATTATACAAATATCAAAAACATAAAAAATATAAAAAATATTGGAAACATTGACATGATATTTGACAAAAATAATAAGTAAATACATAATTGTTTTTGAATGCGCATATAAGACTTAATACTGATTTCGCAGCAAAATACCTGGGACGGTTTGCTTTGCTAGTAAACTACCTGCCACAAAGTACGATTTTGCAAGGTTTATAAAATATCACAATTGTACTTAGTCTTTAAGTAACTTTGTGTTATTGGCTACTTACTTGCTTATATATCTGTCGCCTGTTCCATCAAATTCACATGTGTAATTTTGTGTACCTATAAGTGTAGCACTGCTGGTAAAACCTTCAATGGATGAGCTCTGGAATGTGAGCAGGCCGTTTGACGACGAATACCATTCACCTCTCACGTCTGTTGGATATGTGCATACAGCATCTGGATTGATATATCAAAAATACATGTAATGAATAATATTTTTTAGATGTTCAGACACTGTTTTTCTTTTTAATTCAGAATCATTGTAGTTCTTTGCATTATCAATTTACTTATGATCGCATCGAACAGATATCAAAATAACACAAGATTTTCTTTATAAAACTTGATATAAATGAGAACAGAAATATTTTTAGTATATGATTAAAAACAAGCGAACTCGTTACTCCTATTCGAAAAGAAATGTATTTGTATGACATCATTACTGAGATCTTGAAGTCTTGGATGTAGGCGGTTTTGATATCATGTACATTAAAACTAATTAAGTAATATATCACCACAAAACGGACAATGCAACATTTGTTGGGGATAGGTTTGCTCGTAAAGATATAGACATCCTCGATACTCATGGGGTTACGATCACTTTCGCAAATTTGAAGACACAAGCAAAGTAATTTGATAGGTCTAGACGGGCTTCCAGAGAAATAACTGGCCAACAAAAGATTGATACGCTCCATTGAAGATTACAAAGAAGCGATACCCAACTTCAAAGCCAATACAACATATCTTTATACGATCACGAGATTCGTTTTGAGTATATCAAAGTATCAAATTCGTATTGTCGTCTTATCCGTGGAATTTTCAATATTGAAATGGTACATTGATACAGAGAGCGAATGTGATGTATCTTCTGGAATACCGAGGATTAGGGTGTAAAGAAAATATTGACATATAAAAATATTTCATTTTAGACAGTGCTTTAATCAATGAAGTTTCAAATCTCTAGAACTCTGTAGACGAGTCAGCATGGATAGCAAACAAATATATCTATCTAAAGGATCAGACTTTTGAAATTTTATATCATGTATGTGATATTGATATGGTATACGGTAATGCTTTTGATGCGGAGGTTCAAGAGTTTAAGTATCCTGTCTTAATTGTCTGGATATTTGTACAATTCGTCTCATTGTATGTATATATAGTGCGTTCTAGGTATCACGTAATTAGACAGTTAACTCCTATGAACGAGTCGACATTTACTAGCAGTCTATAATTACAACCTCAAAGAATCATTTTTTGAGGATGCAGTGGTCGTTTTAATGGATAGCCATTGAAAGAATTTCCTGGATACGTGATATGGTGCCATAGGCGCGGACAGGACAAGAACAAAAAATTATTTCCTACGTCAGTGGTGTTGCAATGTAAAATGTATTTATATGATTAATACAAGATCAATAATAGATTGTAAACTGTTACCATCAAAATAGGATAGAAAAGATAGGAACTTCACGTATCGACTAATTAAGGCGATATTCACTCCTGATGAAAAGCAATATAGCATCAAATGGAAACCGACCAGCAAAGATGGTTATTAATGAGCACAACTGTTAATTTCCTAAATTATTGATGAAGGAAACTCCTATATAGAAATATTTGACTGTGTTTTACTGTTGCTAAATCATTCCATTGTGATCTACGGGAGTTAACCCAGATTTACTATAAAAGAGCACTTGGTTTCCACCAATGAATGGCACTATAGTCTGGCCATATTCTTTTAAGCTTGCTTATATACACAATTTGTTCCTTTCGATGCATAAAGCCCTTGGCGTTGGTTAGCTAAATGCTTATTTGTGAAAACAATAACAAAGCCATTTAGACAACAAAGTCAAATCTTGGTTCTGAAACAATCTTTGTATAGATCTGTAGAATGTTATTGTTAATTATGGATTATTGATCATGCAGATTATAACATAAGATTTTGATAAGTATGTGTATTGAAATATTATCGATACACACTTTATTCCTTATATGTTCTTTACATATGCATTTGCTGCAAAGTTCCGAATTAAAAAAGGAAACTATGTTCATATGTAATATGTAAGATATTGTGTACTGAATATCAAATTTGAAAAGATAAACAATCTTTTATGTAACATTAAATTTTTTAAAGTTGTAAGAGTTTGGATAGTACAACTTATCATATTTAAAACTTTCAGCTATCAATATGAACTTAAAGACACATTCACGCAACACCCAAGGAATTTGAGTTCAAATAATGACAAGTTGTTACACACACACACACACACACACACACACACACACCCTCACACACACACATATACATATATATGCTATTATTTTAACAACTGGACAGACTATCTATATGTCTGAAGGTTCCAAGTAGAAAGCAACAAACGCTTTCAACTAAAGAGAATATGTCTTCATTTTGTGTGTGAAAACAATGCTCATAACAATTGGATACTACATATAAATACGTTAATTACAATAAATATCTTTTGCTGATGTGAATATGGAAATGTAATAACCCATGCCCGATTGTTGTAACCGACATAAAGCGAGCGATCAGACATTTGTATATGATAGCAATATGATATTCAATCTCACATTAATATTAATTTTATTGGTATTTTCAAGTTTAAATATCAAAGAAAAATAAGAATAAAATGGGTGTTCGTGTTTCCTACATTTTAACTATGGGTTAAATGATTGATGGTTATTCTAGCACACCATTTTCCATATGTTTTCCATATCCAATATAGAAACGCTTACCTGTATGAAGTAAATATCTTCCAAACACCAACAGAATAATCCATCGTTCTGCCGCCATAGCAGCGCAAAACGATTAATTAGAAATACAGCACATCATATTCTACATTATCCGATATTTGTGACAAAGTTAGTGACAATAATCCATTCTTGAAACTAAAATTTGTAATGTACATAGAATATGCAATTTGTTCATCTAGCCATTCCGTTTTGTTGTAAGGCATGATAAATCAATATTGAAACACAGTTGGATGCTTGCCATATGTATAACTTATTAGATTAAACAGGTATTACTGTCTTGAACAATAAAATATGTTAATAAAAGTAAGCACCGAGAACGGATAAACGATTTGTGTGGCAAGTAGTGCTAAATGTACATGTAGTTGTAGAGAATTAACCATTTCGATCGGTGACTTGGATTGTCTTGGATTATCTCCCTTAGTTTCCGTGTCATTCATAAGGTCACCAAGCAGTAGCATAGACAAGTCATATTAGTGTAAACGTATTGAAAAAGAAATCTTTCATACTACATACTATGTTCTAGTATCCAGCTGATGATTTCTACAGTATTTATCATTAATAAGCGATGTATCATTATCCTTACCTGGGAGGGTTTGTGTTTTTGGAGATGATATCGTTTTGTGATAATGTGGTTTGATAGTGTTAATGGGAATATCATCTTACTCTTCTTAGCGGTTCTCTCGTATGTTGTTCAGTGAAATAGTCACCAGCTACTTCAATGAAACTCTGAGTCAGAATAAACTATTTCTTAAACCTAAAACAAGCAAACTTATATTACGATTGTTCAATTTGCCTGAAAAGGTACAATGTATTAACGGGCAGACAAAATCACCCTTATAAACCTTTATAAATCGTGATACGGAGGTAAAACACGAGGAGAAGATATAGAGATTAACGGACACAACGATATGCCCATCACCAACATCCTTTAATATTTGTCCAAAATATTACATACGTCACAGATACGAATGTCACGTCAGGAGAAGAAGACAGCTTTTATCTATTTTGCATAAAATATGCTGGTATTTATGTTACTGAGATGCATTCATACGTTTATGAATGTGAAGAATAATTCAATACGTGTATCAATATTTTAGATTTGGTTTCTAAATTGTCTGAATTTCACACGTTATAGATTCCTGTAGTACAATGTACTGGTCCTTAAATTCTTGCTGCAATCTATAGTTGTTTTTTTACCGTTTTTTTTCCTATCTTTTCCATATTATTTCATTATATCTATTTTCATTAGTGTGATTAAGAGAGGACTTAAAGTACGAATTTTTAAACAATATGTATCTTAGCTAGCTACGTTTCGTATGATTTTATTAAAATTAATGCGTAATATCTATCTATTTATCTCCAGAGCGCAGGCAAAGGAAAACTGAGAGGTGAAAGGAAAACGACCACAGAGGTTTCATTGTGTGTGCTTTATTGTGGTTTAGTTTTATGTAAACAACAGCTTATGGTCAGATGCTGCTATGTACTATCAACTCAAGGGGGGCAACTCTTGTTTCATGATTTAATGATTTAAGATGTGTCATATGCTCGTGGTGATTTCCTTATTATAAAACTGGTTCTTACTTGTAAACATGACGAATATTTGCATGGCTGGAGACGTTGATGAAGCATATGACGCTTGCCCTTCCGGAACACATTTGTCTGATTTCTTTTTTCTATTTTTGGCATCATTTAAACGATGATTAATTTGAATCTAAATTCTATTAACACTCACATATTTTCTTCATGTTGTCGCTTATTTTCCTTTTATAGACAAAAAAATGCCGTCATTAAAAGCAAAAATTGATCAGAGGCTGATGGATCTTTTATTTCTCTTCGTGTATCACTTAAACATTTATTAAACCCATCTACAAACATGTCATTTACAAACCATATAAGACGTTGTAAAAATGATATTCAAGCAATCATCCAAAATACGTTTAAAATGATAATTATAATATCATTTAAAATACTTTGTTCTGATCCCATTAGGCAAGTCACACAGAAAATTAGCTTGATTTACCACGGTATGCAAACAGATATTATATCGTATACATCAAGACGGAATATGACAGTTTGAAATTAATCATCAACATTTGAAATCTAACGAATGACTATTGTTTTAATATTCTATTATACAACAGTTTACATTTTGTTAAACAAATCCATTATGAGAAAATCGGAATTAATTCCAATCTATCATCAGGTAGACTAAGGTGTATTTCTTCACATAATTTACAGTAAATTAGGAAATATAAAGTCCTGTGATATTTGGCAAATTTGTGGAGAAGGAGAGAAAACACGGGAAAAATACAAATGTTGGAAAATCAAACACAAATGTGTTGTAACTATTAAAAGAAGGATGGAATATAGCAAAACACATTTAGTTAACGGACCCTGCATCGAAACTCAGAATATCTATGAAGATAAATATAACAATGTTCATGATAAGATGTTATGTTATGCATAACTATTACATAGTTAAGATATTAGATAAACTATTTCAAATGCGCAAAGATTTCTGAAGTACATCATTACAGAAAAAGGCTACACACATGAATTAATATTAAAGTCAAACAAGTTGAGTAAAAAAGCTAGTTACTATTCGTTACAATGAAAGACAATAGGTTATTTTCCTGTTATGTAAATCACTCTTCTAAAGTTGTTTTACGAAACTGATAGTGAATTTTCTCATAGGTTCTTCCTGTAATGTTCACATAGCATCTCTTCCTTGACAGTGTGGATGACCTTGTCTCCAACCAGGATCTTTCATTCTATTCAATGTCAACATACTTTCGTCAAGCTTGCCGTTCAACACCACACCATTTATATCTAAATTTACCCATATTTCACATGGTAACACTCTCAAATGTTCACTTATATTGATACAAATCTTGGTAATGACCAGTCAGGATGTCCACCATTATCACATAGGTTATTCCACCTGTGAACTTGAAACACCTGGATATGTTGCCGTCCATCGTCTTAAGCTCGAAGTTAGCCATTTTGAAGAGACCGGTTTGCATTTGAACATATATCTGTAAATCACATCAAAAATGGTTTTAGTTCTTCAGTATAGCATTAAACATAAACGTTTGCTGATATTTCTATTATAGAATTTGCAACTCACAATTCACATATAAATGGTTTTCACCTTTCAACTTAACCACTTGTTATAATAGAAATAGATGTACGATATGTACATATTATCATTACACCTTATAAAACCTACCTGAAATGGACGTTAGCTTATTCGGACGAGCTCCCTGAAATAAATAGATGTGTTTGGAATATCAATGACTACAATACTGATATACATGACTTAATAAATCTGTGTCTCATACAAGTATGATAACATTACAAGATATATGTAGCAGTTGTTATTGTTATTTTCTTGTAACCGTCTAACGCAGAACTCGCGCTAATGGTGGCTCAGACATAATCCTAATGATATTAAGGTTTTAGGGGTATGATCGGAGGAAATTTAAACATTAATAAAACATACATATTTGAGATTTTTTACCTTTGAAGGAACTTTTTCAGAACGTTTTATGAGTTTCTGTCACACAGTATTAAATATATAGTTATATGTATAGCCGTATCCTCATATCCTTGATTTTTACTCAAAACACTGAGAGGTTCATTACTACTACTATTTAAAATGACATTTTTTCGAATGTAAACAGCATTCACTCAATGTTTTATTTTCAAAACATTCTATATAAATTAATTATTATCACTATGTGTACTTCTCGTTAAGATTTGGTGGAATGTCTAGCGGTATAAAGCTATGCATATCCCGAACTATTGGCAATATTCAAAACTTGTACAAATGACACACAAGTGTATACCACATTTCAATTTAGTTTAAACATTAGATACATGGGACCATATAATGAATAATCTGCTCCATACAAGCGTCCTTCTAGGACTCGTTATGATAATGAGAGCCTATATCTTTGATATTTGGAAGGCAAAATAGGTAAACCAAAACCGAGCAAATATGGAAACTGTTCGCTCCTCAAAAGGTATTCCTGAATTTAAGTGGTGGAACAATCTCTATATTTCAAATACTTTGCTGTATAATTTTAATAGTTCAATGATATTACAGCTTAACAGCTGTCGTCATTCCTTGTAGTGTCCACTGTACTAATGTACTAACACGTATATCTAAACAGCAATAACACTTTCTGTGTTACATAGAATAGGAAAGATATATTAAGGTGACACATCATTGAAGTTTATACTTGTTATTTGTCTCAGAGAGGAGATTGCACCCTGGGAAGACTGCACATTGGTACTTTCAACATGTATAAAACACAGCAAGCGTTATCTTGTATATTACTACCTGATGCAAATACCAATTATTTGCTGTACAACCATTATATTTCAAGTGTGTTTTTATGATCAAGAGATAAAAAGGGAATATCAAATCTAGAAATATGATTACTAAACATCGACATTCATTTTTCATACTGATATAGAACAAGTCATGCATGATTTGGATGTTTTATCAATACTACACCGAAAATTTATCCCCGTTGGTAGTAACGAAACAATTTATACTTTTGTTTACAAATGTCTCCGATCTGAACTCTAAATTAGAATATGAATACAGTCGAATCTCGTTATCTCGAATTCGTATACCTCGAAGACTCCGTTTAATTCGAGGTCCCTGTCTAATTAAAACAAAACATTCGAACTCACTTAAATCGAATATTCAGTTGTCTCGAATTTTTTCTCATGGTCCCGTCGATTTCGAGATAACGAGGTTCGACTGTTGTAATAATAAACATGATAATTAATCTGTACGGGGTCTCACCGTTGGGTTTGTGGTTATCCTGCTCTTGGCGTTTGATTTCCATGTTGGATGTGAATTGATAGCTAGCACTGGAGTATGGGAAACAAAAACTTGGTATAACTAACGACACGAGAAAATTACTACTGTAAAATCATTATTTTCCGTGGGGGATTTATTTTTGTGGGTATTGTAAATCAACGAATTTATGTATCAATAAACTGCTAAGATAAAAGTCAGTAGAT